GGTCGGCCCCGGGTGGCCGCGCCCCAGCCAGGAGCGGCGCGAGGCCCAGACGCAGCGGCGGCACCGGCGAGACGGAGGCAGCGTAGCTGTCCAGGCCGCCGTCTGTGCGGACCGTGAGATAGCCCCGCTGCGCGTGGAACTCCAGGGCGTGCAGGTCTCCTTGGCGAAGTAGGTGCCAGGACCGGCCAGCAGCGGCGCCCGCAGCGTTATGGCCGCTTCGGGCCGCAGGAGCCGCTGGGGCGCGCCGCCCAGGAGCGCGATGGCCAACTTGGCCAGGCGTGGAGGGCAGAGTACATCTGACCCGAAGGGCGGCACCGGCCCGGGTCATAGAGCGGCACGGGCCGGCCACTGCCTTGGAAACCCGCAGGCAGCCGGGTGTGCACGAGGGGCTGGAGGTCGAAGCACGTGTCCGCCATCCCCAGAGACTCTAGCACGTTCTCGGAGATCCAGCGCTGGTAGTCACGCCGGGGGGTGGGCAGCCAGGACACAGGCCAAAGGGAGAAAGCCAGCGTGCCGTAATGGCTCCTGGAAGAGGAGGAGCAAACTGGCAACTGGGCTGGGATGAAGGTTTCCAGGCACTAAATAGCCCCTCTCCCCACCAGAGCCACCGCCAACCCCTCTTTTTCTGAAAGGCCACCAGAGTTTCATTCACAGGTAGGGCTGCTTCACCTTCTTCCAGAAACTCAAATCCAGCTGACTTCAGGGATCATTAAATAGAGCACACTCACTATAATACTTCTGGAAAGAGGAAGGCGCAGTGTGCCCGGAATCACACAGCAAGTTGGGGGGTTGCTGGGAAAACAGTAAAATCTTTCACATTTTAGTCTAATTTGTTATCAAATGGAAAGCTAGATAGAGTATTAGATTGTTGGGGAGGGGAGATGACAGCCATCAAGTAGCTCAAAGATGATAAATAGGAGGCCAGCTTCAGCCCTCCTTTCTTCCAAGACACAGCAGACACTAATAATCAAAAGATTTTTTCCTTCCAGAGCAGGTGCAGTTTCAGAAGCTAAATTAGTGTCTCAGGACACTCCATGGAAGAAAGAAAATTCACAAAGCCTGTTGACTTTCCCCAACTGTAGCCTAGCCTCCCTTTTGACAGATGAGGAAGATGAGGTTCACAGAGGAAAAGTGTTTCCTCCAGGGTCACACAGCAAGTTTGGGAGGAGCCTGAAAGAGGGGAGCTGCATTCTTGCAGATGCGCAAACAGTACCAGAATCCTGTCTCAGCAGGAGATGTGAAGTCTGAGATTCAGAATTTGGAGAAGCAGAGGCGTAAATTTGAAAGGGGGCACTGCCCGGTGCCAGCAGGGCTGGGGAGGTGGGGTCCCTGAAACCGGGGGTGCCAGCTGGCCACAGTCCAGCCCCACAGCCGTACTGCTCCCAGAGTGGAGCTTCTCTTTGACTAGCCACCCCAGTCTCAGCCGATATCACTCACTATCTCATCAGCCTCTCGTTTATTTTGATCATGGCACTTGGCCAAATCTGCAAATCTATCTTGTTTATCTGTTCACTGATAAGAATAGTCACTCACAGGAGTGCGGAGGAGGCAACCTGATTGGAGTTTTTAGCTGCTGGCCTCAGTTTAGCTCAGTCCAGACCTACAGGAGGTGCTCAGTCAGTGCTGAGTTGATGAATGGAAAGAACACGAGCTTCATATGAAACTGGGTCTGGGCCCAGCTCCCCACTGGCTTGCTGGGCCACCCCTCTGGGCCTCTGTCTTCCTTGATCTCTGAGATCTCTTCTGGCTCTGACCAGCTAGGCTGAGTGGGCACAGCCTCTTCGGGAGGTTCTGAATTTCAGGGGGTGCACCTCTCACCTGGTCCTAGGGTTCACTACCAGCATGTCATCCTTGAGCAGGTGCAGAGCCTCCTGGGTGCTGCCCTTCCACAGCAGCGAGGTGGAGCGAAGCCTTCTGGACAGCCCTACAGAGGAGCAGTGGTCAGAACTGCTGAGGGTGGGATGTGGGACCCTGGGGTGCACTGCTTTCCCCCCCTTCATGCGTTAAGAGAGAACAACAGAATCACCTCTTTTGAAAAATCTAGCATGGATACAAATCCTGCCTATATTTCATTGGGCAAATTATTTAACCTCTCTAAGCCACAGTACCTCGTTTATAACGTGAGAGAAATGATTTCTGTATTGTGGGGCTGAAATGGGCATTAGCTGAAAGGCTTGGCACAGTATGCCTGGTCACAGTAACTGCTCAAAAAGCAATTGTTATCATCTATAAAATTCGACTCCATAAACTTCTTGAGGTTAGCGGCCAAACATTTTGTGCAAGTGGCTTCTCTGACCACTTGTAACTGTTGGATTATTGGATGTGACAAGTATTGGAAGGATCACAGAACTGAAATCCTTTCTACATAGTTTCTACGTCCATTCAACATAGTTCTGAAACATCTCTTTTGCCAAGGACCCTTGTGGGTGCCGGATTCAGCAGTGGCCACATGGAGTTTACATGGCGATGGCCAGTAAGCAAATACAGACATAGTACATCAGAATGGTGTATGCAGAAGGGAAGGATTCTTAGACCAGCTGGACAGATGAAGACCTCACAGAGAAGGCGGCCCTCACGCAGTGAGCCCTGAAGGTAGTAAAGGAGAGAGCCACAAAGTAAAGAAAGAGGGTCTCAGGCAGAAGTGATAGCAAGTGCAAAGGCCCTGAGGCAGGAATGTCTTGAAACGCTTCAGAAGCCGCACGGAACAACCAGGATGGCTAGAGAGGAATGAGAAGGGGCGAAGTCCCCAGGGAGCTACAGGCACCTGGAAAGGCTTTCCTCTGTGTGGGGTGGAGCCACTGCAGGAATTCTCAGCTGAGGAGTGATGTAAGCAGAAAAGTATTTGATCAAGGTTGCTCTAGCTGCTATGTGAAACGGACATTTGGGGCAACAGTGATGCAGGGGGGCCTATGGGGAGGTCTGTAAGACTCCGCTTTAAATGACGGAGCCTTGGACCAGGTTGCTGGCGAGGGGCTTACACTGCCCTTACACTGCCAGCTTGGCTTCCCTTGGCTTCATAGACATCCTCACTGCATCCTGTGTTGGATAAGTCACTCGTTTACAAGAGACAAGATTCCCACAGGGTACACAATGAATCTGTCCTCTGACCTTGCCTTCCTGGAGACAACCCAATGTCTTAATCTTTTTGGTTCCTCCCAAAAACATAGGATATGTGTAGGTACATATCTATGCCCATGGTGTGTGTGTGTGTATACATACATACATACACATATATGGAGATACATACTTAATTCAAACATATATTTGTATATAATACCTAATACCTAGATGCTGTTTATTGTGTACATTGTGTGTTTTATATTCATGCACACATATATATTACATGTGTGTGCTTGTTAGTTATTCATACAGTGGCATAATTGCACTCTTAGAATCTTTTTTTCCCCATTTAACATTACATCTTCCATCTACACAGACATTATCCTTTCCTTGCAGGGACACAGTATTTGTATAGCTGTGCCATAGTCTTTTTTTTTTTAGCTATTCCTTTATTTATAGATATTTGCCTCAGTCTTTTGCTATGACCACCAGTGAGACAATGAATAATTGTACAATGAATAATTGCCTGAGTATCTGTAGATACTCAAAGGAGATATATTTTTTAATTGCAATAGGTATCACTAATTGCCTTCCGCACAGATCATGCCAATTTAAATTCCTCCCCCATATGTATAAGAGGGTCTATTTTACCATAACCTCACCAACTCAGTACACCCACCTTTTAGTCTTTGCCAGTCTCATGGGGGAAATGTCTCCTGGCACAGTTTCAATTTGCAATTATTTTGTGAGAATGAAGTAGAGCATCCTTCAGTAGTTTTTAATATTTTTAAGCATCATTGGCATTTCCTTTTCAAGAAACTGTCTGATCTGTTCTTATCCTTTACCCACTTTTATGTTGGTTATTGGCCTTTGGATTGATTTGCAGGGGATCTTTACATATTAGAGAAATTAAGTCTTCATTATAGAATTGTCTGCAAATAGCGACTCATTCACTTGTCTTAACTTGATTTTGACTGCCAACTTATCTTAATTTGGCCACTTGATCTAAATTCCCAGACTTTATCTCAGCTTTTGCCTCACCGGATCTCTCTACCCCTGGCCCAGAGCCCAGGGATGGGGAGCTATGGCCAGTTCTGGGAGCAGAGTAGAAGGGCGCCGCCTGGCTGGGTGAGAACCTGGCAGTTCCTAGACCTCAGGTGCTTTGGCCTGAGCCACAGGAGTGTAACGTGACTCACCTGCAAGCTGGCTGGCCATCCTGTGGAGGGTCACTGGTGAAGGCCTCAGGGCCGGGCCCACCTCCTCCAGACCACCCATCATGCTGTGTGGTTGAAGGACAGATGCCAGGCCCTCAACCTGGCATGAACAATGAAGGTGTGGCATACTACTCCAGGGGGCCGTCCAGGGAGACCATGAGGCCCTCCTCCCACAGCCAGGACAGCATGAGCACAGGGAAGATCTTGGAGAGCCTGGAGATCCTGCAAATTGCAGGGGCCCCACTACCCCCTCCCCCTGCACCCCAGCTTCCAACTTTGCAGTATTCTAGGAAAGCACTGAATCCCCCTAATCAATGTCTCAGGCAAAAATTGCCCAGCCTGACTATGGTGATGGCACACGGGTGAATTGGTGACGGGAAGCCCACTGGGATTACAAGTGAGATGGAAAAAGGCACAAAATGTTGTAAAATAAACTATTATATTATTTTTAAAAAGTTGTCTAGCTTTTGCAGACCTGTGTGACGCTTAAACGCACACCAAAGGTGGTGCAGCTGGCCTGGATGGACCCTCTCGAGCTCCTGCCCTGTGCCAGGCCCTTGCCAGGCACTGCCCTCCTGGACACACCTCTGCCTCCCAGTGACTGAGAGGCCTTGGGCAAGTATGAGACTTTGTGAGATCCCGTTTCATCGCCCGTTCTCCATGTTGCAGAAAGGATGGAGCCAGAATGTGCGTGTGCCCGGCGACATGACAGCAAGTGGTATTGTTGGCCCATGAGTGGCAGCTGGAAAGGGGGGCCTCTGTCCTCACAGAGTCTCTGGTAGCCATGTGTCCACTTTAGGGGTCGTGTAGACAGCACCCAGGACAGAATATTCTGGGCGTGCAGCAGGATGTCCCAAGCTGTCACCTAACAGGGACATGGAGGGAGGGGGAGAACAGATCCCTTTGTGGCCAGGGGAGGGCAGCATGGGAGACAGGGGCCCTTTTCAAGTTCAGGAGGTTTGGGGCTCAGGGTTCCCTGGAAGGGACTCTGCCCTGACCCGTTTCCCTGTGATGTGATGTGGAGAACGGGCTGGTCCTCTCCAGATCTCAGGCTCCTCACCTGTACAACTATCAGAACGTAAGAAGGGCTCTGGCCACTGAGGCCCCCAGTCATAATCTCTGGAGTCCCCCTATTCCTGGGTTTCCCTGTTCTCCCACCCCTCGCCCTCTCTGTCCATAGGGCCCTGGAGGTCACCCGGCTGACCGGTACATGTGTACTCACTGGGGGGCCCAGAAGCAGGGTCTGAGCTGTTCTTCCTCCCAAAGTTCCCGGTCCAGAGCACCGTGTCATTGTGGATGACAGCTGCAGACGTGGCGGCCAGGCCAGGTGCCGACAGCCTGGCGCAGAATCCTGTCCACCTGGAAGGAGAGGAGACGCCCGCCTTGGATGGGCATAGAGACGCCTGCCCCTGGCCACCCCCACCTGAGGTCTGCACCCCTGCCCACTCCCACAGCACCCTGTCCGCACCCTGCTGGCCCTGCTCCTTTCTCTTCCTCCTGTGGCGGGAGTGGAGCCCGGTCAGCCTCCAGACCTGGGGTTCTCAGCCGTACCCCAGAGACCAGGGGTCTCTGTCCAGGCTGCAGTCAGAGCAGCTCCCCTGAAATCTGCTTTATATGTGGGGTTTCCCACGAACGCTTTTGATCAAAGAAACATTTCTTTGGCAAAATGTAAAAGGGGTTAAAACTACTGATCTACTCAAACCCTATCTGATGCCCTAGAAAACTCCCAGAGGGTTGGTCTGACTGCATGTTGGAGGATTCACTATTTAGAGGGGACCCCTGGGCCTCTTTGAACATTGACTAAAAATGCCTCATTATTAACAATGATGAGACGTAATGATGATGATATCAGCTAAAATGTATTGCATATTTAGACTATGCCGGGCATGGTATAAAATGCAGTTCATGCGTTCTCTCCCTTAATCCTCATAAAAAGTCAACACTAATTCTTCCTCATTTTACAAAGGAGAAGCTTGGGTCTGTGCACTATGAAATGAATAGCCCTTGTGGCTTATGGTCAGGGGAAGCAGGATTAGAATCCTGTGCTGACCCCAGACCTGATCCTTAGCTAGCTGCCAGGTCCCCGCCAGTGTCCTGCACTGACCTGTCCACCTGTAGCGTCCACTCGTGCCGGCCTTGCCCCCCTGTGCCCGAGTTTCCTCCTGTACAGAAGGGCTCACAGGGTGTCCTATAAAGAGGTCCATACATAATAGGCGCGCAGAGGCAGCTGGTTATGGCGATGCTGGCATTTTTGTTTCCTTGACCCCTGGGATCCACAGAACACCGGGCAGCCCCCTGTCCTTCACCTAAGCCTTCTGTGTATTTGCAGACAGCGGCGGTCTCTGCAGTGGCCCAGACTTTCTCCTGTGTGGTCCCATCGCCCCCCTCCCTTCCACGGCTCCCAGCTGACAATGTCAAATCCCCACCATGCTGCTGCTCCTTCGCCATGGTCACGTTTCATTTGTCTGTCTCGTAAGGTGAGTGCCCAGTGGGTGGGAACTGGCAGGCACAGACTAGAGCTGGCTGGTGCCACCTCGAGTGTTATGTACCCCCTCCATGGGGGTGGTGCCTAATCATCTTGCAGTGGCCTCTGATAGGGCTCTGTCATCGTCTGGTCCCACCAGACTCAGTTTCTCCACGGGTCTCTGAGTGCCGTATACTCCGCTGCCTCTGGACCTTCGCACAGGCCCTTCCTCCGCCTCGGTCGCACCCTGCACGCCCTCACCCCACACACACTGGGTATGTCCTGTTCACATCTCAGCTGAGACACCACTGCCCCCAAATCCTTCCTGGCCCCAAGGCCTGTTCCTCAGGTACCTGCAGTCCCCTGAACTACCTCATCCACAATCTCACCCCTGAGTTACAAAGGTTCATGTCTGGACAGTTGCCCTCACTCCAGGCCAGTAGCCTCTTGAGAGCAGGACAGTGTCTTCTTCCGGTCACATCCCTGGTACCTAGCCCACAGGGACAGGGTGGGCCAGGGGCACAAGCTCCGGGTGCTGGGCACACATCCCCACAGGGGCAGAGGTTACGTCTGGTCCCAAGGAAGCTGGGGGGGCATCATGTGGTGAATGAGGGACAGAGGCCAGGATATGGGGCTAGGTGTCACCCTAGAGAAGAGGCGAGGTGGCAGTAGAGGCCGGAGCCAAGCCTCAGGGCTGGTCTTCCCAGCTGGCAGCAGCCCACTGGGGGGATTGCAGGGTACAGAGACCTGCCACGGGGAACAAGGGGCAATTGCAAAGCAGACCTGGAGGAGAAGGGACAGTCCCACACGTGCTGTCAGCTGTCAGCACACCGGTCAGGCCCCAGCTGCAGCGGGCAGCCCTCTCTGCCACCCGCCCCCCACCCCCAGGGCTTCTCCCTCCCTGGGGAGGGCTCAGCCACGGCCCCTGTCTCTTCCTTGTTCTGATTACATATTTGCACATAGCGGTGACCTTGGCACCCCACTCTTGCTTCAGCTTGAACCCCCAGGGACAGCTCCTTCTCTCCCCACAGCCATGCATCGGGCATTGGGTGCTGGCCTGGCTGGCTCCCTTCCGGGGAGTGTGGGCACTGGCTGCACAGGTGTCGGGCTGTGAGACCATCACAGCAGCCCCCAGACCTTCCTCATCCCCTCAGGGCCGTGTGGAGTGGTGAGGGCACCAGCACCCACACCCCACTCCCGGGAGTGGGAGCTGCCTCTTTCTCAAAACCTTCCACTGTCTCCCAGACTGGCCAGAACCGAGAGAAGGCTCCTAGTGGGAGCTTCACTATAGCCAGACATTCTTTCAGCTCCCACCTCTTGAATCTGTGGCTTTGAGACTTGCTTTAGGCAGAGTGGATGGTCCCCCCTCCCAACCTGGGCCCCTAACCCACCTTTGCTCCTGGGGAACACTGCCCCCTCGTGGGCAAGGCTGGGATAGCACCTGGAGGGTGAGGCCTGGCTCTCCCAGACTTGCCCGCTGCCCCGGAGAGCCCAGGTTAGACCAGCTGCAGAGCTGCCAGCCGGTCCACGGACTCGTGAGAAAAATAAGTCACTTCGTTTGATGCCAGCAGGTGGTTTGTGCCCAGCATTCCATGGGGTCCCAGAGGAAAGTCACAACCTTAGGGAAGCTCTCCCAGCAAGCTCATGACAGATTTCATCACTGGGGCGGGATGGTCTCAGCCAGAGTGAAGCTCTGCAGGCTGCACCCCAAGTCTCCAGTCTGCAGCCGCCCTCTGGTGGGCACCTCGACACCTTCTGGGGACTCCTGGAACGCAGGTTTCCCCAGTAGACAGGGGCAGGACCAGCGAGTGCTCTCCATGGGGGCCCTGAGGGGTGAACTTTTTATTGCCCACTTGTTTAGAAACTTTATAGCCATTGGGCAGAGTCATTTTGTTCTGTTGAAACTCATTATCAAAACTTCTATTTTGTGGGTCATTTTTTTTTCATTGAATTTCTCTGATACTTCTTTATTTGTTTGCTTGTTTGTTTAGCATAAGCCTGATCTGCTGTCGAGGGGGAGATGGGGAGTTGAGAAGCCTGGCCCTAGGGGACAGGCTGACCTGCCCACTTGGAGACGATCTGCTTGAGAAACCCCTGATAGAGGAATGTTCCCTCGTAAGTGTGGGTTGAAGTGGGAGAGGAAGAAGTTAGCAGGAAGGTAAAAGGAGCCAGCTCAGCAAAAAACTGCTGCGGTCCTTTGAGGCTCCCACACCTCTTTGAGCCTCAAGCCTGCATGGCACAGAGTGACCTCCAGCATCCAAGCAGCTCAGAGGACCTGGGGTTGCCGTAGCAGCAGAGGACAGGTGGGCAGGGCCACAGTGATGGCTTGACCAACTCAGCATGGAGAGGCCCCCATGGAATGGCCGCTGCGGCCATGGGCACCTGTGTTGTCCCTCCCAGGGTCTCGCTATGAGTGGGGGAGGGTTTAAAGTGGGGCGGAGGTCTGGAGATCCTACCCTGGGGATCAAAGACAGAGCAAGAGACACACTTAGCCCCACACTGCGTGACTTACAGAAACCCCAGTGGCACTTAGAGCCCTCAGGTTAGACACCAGGGCACTGCGGCACAGAGAGGTCACGTGACTGGCCCAAAGATGCGCAGCTGGAGTTGGAGCCAGAATGGAGGCCAGGGCTCCTGGGTCTGTCTAAATCTTAGAGTCGTCCCGTGCACCCTGGGGCCCGGAGTGGCAGCACCAAGCCCACAAGGACCCACCGGGTGGGGAGGCCCAGGTGTCTCTGTTTCACCCATCTTCAGCTTGGGGAGGTGGAACTGCCAGAGGAAACAGCCAGCCATGAGCCCAGAGAGCAGGAAGAAGAAGCTGCAGGAGGCCGGGAGAAGCCACTTCTTGTTCACTTGCTGCAGACTGAGCTGCCCACCAGCCTGGAGAGGGAAAGACAGGCCAGGCTGCCTCAGGGGGTCGGCCGGAGGCCGATGAGGGCTGGGGAAAATCAGGCTCTCCCAAGCCCCACCCCACAACACAGCTCCTTCCTGGGTGTTCTCCAGCCTAGAGACTCTTGCTTCTTCTCCCCTCCTCTCCCTCAGCCCAGGATAGTGCTCTCCACAGAAGCAACCCCATTGGGGATGAGTTGGGGGACTTCAGTCAGAGGCCTGGAGACATGAAAAGGAAGAAGAGATGTTTCTGATTTGATCTGCGGGTGCAGTGAGTGAATACACATCAACACTCAACTCCCCAACCTACAGGGGAAACCCTGGAATTGTTAAGTGATGATGATGGAGGTGATGGGGGAGATTTAGGCCAGTATTTGAAACAAGCCTTCTTGGGACTGTGCCTCACCTGGTTCTTCATTCTCTCCAAGGTGTGGAAGATTCCAGCTCCTTGAGCACTCAGGTCGGTCTGCAGCCCAGGAGGCCCTGAGGCAGAAGAGCAAAGGTAAGGGAGTCCTGCAGGAAGGGCAAAGGGTCAGAGAACTGCTAGCAGACAAGGAAGGGGGTGAGGATGGAAAAGGGGGCAGAGCACCCCACACCCTCATGAAGCCCAAAGGCAAGAGGAATGGGGTGCAGAACCTGGGGATTTAGTCTGTTTAGTCTGCCCAGGTCAGTCCTGATTTTGGCACTGCAGTTCCCAGGCTCCGGGAAGCCCATAGTCCTGGGAAAACAGCCCTGTCACCCCGCCCTGACCATATCCCCCACCCTTCAGGGCTTAGTGCCAGCTCACCCACTTCTGGGAGGTTCGGGAAGGACCTCGCAACTCAAACCCAGCCACAGCTGGCCAGTGCCTCGGCATCCCTCATGTTGCAGGTGACAGAGGTGCTTCTGGTTCTGTGGCACAGGCTTCACAAGGCTCTTCATGAGGGTGGCAGATGTGGGGCCTGATTTCTCCAGCACTAACACCTCCAAATGCCCTCGGCCATGGGCATCATCTCCTGGGGTACAGGAACACATCTTTCAGTAAGGCTGGGGGGCACCCTATGGCCAAGGTGCTCCAGGTTGGCGGGCAAAGCTCCAGTCACATCTGCCAAATCCAAGGGTAAGGGAGACAATGGGCTGACCACTGGCCTCCCAATGCGTCCGTCCCCCCACCAGCTCTTCTGTTGATCCGACTACCTGGACGATCTTTTTTTTTTAAAAAAAAAAAGATTTATTTATTTACACATACAAAAACTGTTGTACAGGCCAGAGGTATGGGAGTGAAAGATTCATTAGAGACAGAGTGGGAGCAGAACAGGCAGAGTGATGGAGTACACTGCTGAGCAGAGCAGTGTGCGAGACAGGAGAGGTCTGCCGCGCCATGTGGGTCACCTCCCTGGCTGGGAATCGAACTCGTGCTGCAGTGGCTGCAGATCACTTCATAGTGCTGCGCTTTAACCTGTTGCACCACCAGGGAGGGCCCACCTGGACGATCTTTACTGAGGCTCCAGGTGGGCAGCGCCTGGTGTCACAGACCAAGTGCCGATTACGCACCAAATATAGTGCTGTCTGTGCTGCCACTATCACATCAGCCGCGCCAGGCAGGTTTCAGTCTACCCTTGTTTGATAGATGAGGAAAGCGGTGTGCAGAGAAGTGAGTCCCCAGCAGCGGCAGGACAGGCTGCAGGCCGGAGTGCTTGCTGCACAAACACTCAGGCTCCTGCCTGTGTCCCTGCCTGTGCTTGAGGCATGTGCACCTCTGCTGACAGGGCAGAGCAGGGCAGCAGCCCCTCTCTGCGGGCCCCTCCCTTGCCCTCTGTGGTAGCCAGGAGGGCATCCTTCTCTCACCACCTGAGCCCTTCTGGACTCCTAAATTTAGCCAGAAGGATCCACACAGGTCATGCAGCAGAGTGGCCACACGGCGGCAGTAGAAGCCCACGTGTGAAATCTGGCCCAACCTGCGCCTCTTCTGAAGGGTCTTGCCAGTCTCAGACAAGTGTGAGATGAGTCTGACAAGAAAAAGAAAATCTGCTCAGGCCCCCGGGATCTCACTTTCAGTCCTGAGGGCACCTGGAGAACCTGTGAGGTGGAAAACATGTGGAATCATTTCTGCTTGGAGAAGGAAACCCACGCTGGAGCCCGGCGGCTGTCTCATTGCTAGGAACCCGGTGCGAGCTTCCAGGGCCTGCCCGTAGAATCCAAATGATTTTCCCAAGGTCCATCCCCTGAGCTAGGGCCTCGGCAGCTAAGGCTGTCTGACAGGGGTAGAAGTCACCTAGGCTTAAATGGGGCGCCAGTGGCTGTGGGCAAGGCTGGAGGAGATGCCGGAGGACAGAGGTCTGGAGACTCAGCCCTTAGTCATCTGGCCAGGAGGCCGCCCCATAGCTAAAGGAAGGGCCCAGGGCCCAGGGGGAGTGGTGGGGAGCCCCTGAACTGTTCCTGCAGAAGCCACATGGGCTTCTTGACTTGACTAAACGTGCAGGGTCCACTGGCCAGCGTGGCCGCCTCCCTGACTAGCCAGCAGATACCTCTGAGCTGTGCAGCAGCCAGCAGCACCCGAGCAAACGCACTGTGATGCCCTTCTCAGCGCGGGCAGCTTGGCCGCCCTGCAGTCAGCCTCAGGGTGCCCGAGCTGTTGGAAACCTGCATGAGATGGAGAGACCACGCCCTTCATCCTCGGGAATGCCTTGTCAAGGGCACCAGAGGCTGCGGCTGTTGGCTGGGCCCACAGCTGGGGTTATGTGGAGAATCATCTGCAGGTGGCGTGCCAAAGAGAAAGCAAGGAAGGCCCCATCCCACAGCATGAAGTCCCGGGGCTACAAAAGGGACTGGATGGTGTGCTGCCAGGGGCCTCAACAACATCCAAGTGGGGAGGCGGAAACTTGGTTGTGGAGGCCCTTGGCCCAGCAAGCAGTGGCTGCGGCCACCCAGGGACAATCCTCAGCATTGTCAGGGAGCGAGACACCCATAAGGGGGCCCACAGCTGGGCAGGGTATGGTGACAGGTTCGTGTCCTGGCCCCGGCCTGGGTGGCTGCCAGAGGCAGGTCAGCCTGGCCCACTCTGGAAGAGGAGGCAAGAGCTTGTGTCCCCCACTGTGGTCTGTTTCTTGAGATTGGATGGTGTCTTCTTGCTAGATCAGCGGGGGCCTGCCATGTCCCCTCAATGAGCCAGGTGATCTGTCCTTTTTCCAGAACCCAGGGGTCATCACACTGTCTGATGTAGCATGTGGACCGCTCCCCCTCCTCGGTGACCACACAGGGTGATAAGGGAGTGGCAGGTGTCCCTAAACCGTCCATACCAAGGCTCGATTGTGTCCGCCACCTGCAGGTGGCAATTTCAGAAGAGCAAGCAAGCTCCATGATGACAAGGTCCAGAGCTGGGAGAAGTGGCCTGCAAGCCAGTCTCCACATCAGAGTATCATGCCAGAAATACACGTATCGGGAACATGAGCACACCGAAAGTATTGGATGCTCCCTACATGGCATAAGAGAACATGCTAAAGTATGTCCATAGCTGTCAGAACCCACTACATACCATTTGCCAAGAGTGATCTCATCAAATCTCCAGGTCATGGTCATGGTGCCCCACCTGGACTACCTTGAGCCACGTTGAGCCACTGGTCAACATTTTGCTGCAAATAACACCCTCTGGGGAAAACATCAGTTACTTCCTGGCAGGGCCACCTCTGTTCACCATGTTTTTTCTTTCTTTCTTTCTTTCTTTTTAAATATTTATCTATTTATGCATACAGAACTGGGAAGCAGGCCAGAGGTGCAGGGGAGTAAGGCTTCACCAGAGACAAAGTGGGGAGCAGAACAGGCAGATCAACGAAGTACACTGCTGAGGGGAGCAGTGGGCAGGTCAGGAGAGGTCTGCTGTCCCATATGGGTCACCTCTGGGGCGGGGATTGAACTTGCACTGAAGCGGCTGCGGCCAGCTTGCAGTGCTGCATCCTAACCTGTTGCAGGGAGGGCCCTCGCCATAGTTTTTCTACAGTAGGCCCAGGATCTAGGGCCCCAGAGTGGATGTGATGGTCACGTGGTCTTGATCAGCTAGCTCTTTCCTCAAGATGCAGGGCTTTATTGTGAGCTCACTAATCTGTCACATCCAGACCAATTTTGTGACTGAATGGCTGTAATTTTCTACAGCAGGGGTCACCCCATGGTTATCCTCCCGTTGGTCCAGTTCTGGAGGGTCCTATGGCCTGGCTATACAGACCATTGGCTGTGAAGCTCAGAGGCTGTTTACAAAGGTGTGAGCAGTTATAGGGACCTCACAGAACCTGGAAGCAGAGAGTAACATAGAAAGGCCCTCCTGGAGAGGACCCCTTCTGTACAGGCATCCAACCAGCCTTAAACCAGACATGCAACCCACAGGAGCTAGGGCAGTAACTATGTCAACCCCCTCCTCCCCTCTGGCCTCTGCCAGTGACACCCCCATTGACCAAGAATATCTGGGAGCCACACAGTAAGGTATGCTGATGATGGGGGCCCATGAGTCAGTCCCTGGCAGAAAAGATGAGCGAAGGCCAGGGAAGGGTGAGAATGGACGGGTTGGGGTTGGGGTGCGATTAGAAGATATTTGACACTAGAGGGGGTGGTGTTGATAGGGAGGCCAGGGGGATTCTCTCCCCAAGGGAATCATGTGAGCATGGACCTGAGGGAGATATAGTGATTCATCTAATCCTTACAGATGAGAAGGTGGGTGTTGGTACATTTCCCATTTTATAGTGGGGGAAGCTGAGGCACAGTAAGAATAAACCAACTTAGAGTTTTTGGGATCACACAGCTGGAGTTGGCGGTTGGGATTTCAGGCCAGGCAGTTTCACTCCAGAGATCCTGATCTTAAGGTGGTAGAGGCCCGTGGGCATCATGAGGAGGCAGAAGTCATGTCAGGACATTTCAGACAGTGATTAGTCATCGTAGAGGTCATTTGTTGAACGCTGACTATACACTGGTTGCTGGCTCCAGTGGGGTGGAGGACAGAGGGATGAAGAGCCTCTGTCCGGAATATAAAAATGTGTACAAATCAAATCCCAGCCGATTGGGATACACTCCACTGTAGAAGGCCCAAGTGGGACTCCCTTAGGCAAGGGGGGCCCCACTAGCCCAGTGGGGGTTTGTGTGATGAGCCCACCCTGGCTGTGGAGGGTGGGTGTTAGGGCTGGAGGTACATTCAGTGAAGTGTTGTGACAGCAGAGAGGGGGAGATCAAGGATGGAGAGGAAGAAGCTCTGAGCCAAGACGATGTGCTTGAGGGGTGGCCAGGCACCCGGTTTAGGATGCAGGAGACTTGTGGGGGCGCAGAGGGTCTTAGGTCAGGCATGAGCAAGTGCCAGGTCACACTGGTCCCACCTCGGTAGTGATTTCCTTCCCGAGCCTCCTTATGGAGACCAGGGCCATGTCTCTCAGATGGGCACTCGCTACTCTCTTCTTAACCCCAACCCCACAGGGGCCACCCAGCTCTGGTCGGAATTTAGCAACCTCGTGGGGTCTCCGCTAGCCTAACTGTAAGGTTTCACTTTGGGTAAAGGATACTGTTTTAACTTACAAATAAACTATTTATTTTTATGTTATTTCCCCTTACAGATTTATGAATTTCTTTAAGGGATAAACACATAAATTTATTGAAGGGAAAAATAGTCAAATTTATAAAGGAGCGATATGGACTTAAATATCCAGGTGGTTCACAACTCTGGCAAAAGCCATAGAAGGACAGTAATGACTCGTGTTTAGGGTACTCTGGTAGTGCCCTAAAGGTAGAAAGCACGGTGGGGGGGAGGAAGGAAGGTGGGATGGGGCCCAGCTCCCCCAAGGGCTGGCGGACCCACCAGCAGCCAGAACACGTCACATTTCTGCGGGGCGAGGGTGGCTAGCAGGGGAGGAGCCTGGACCAGGGGTCAGCGTGCTGCACGGAGAGGCAGGGCAGGCTTCTAGCGCCCCGTGGTACCTGGCTGACCTGGTGGGCACAGAGGTGACCTTGAGCCTCCAGTCCTGCCCGGTGTGACTCACTCAGAACATTCAGTCGTCTCTAATTGGGTTTTACTGAGTACAGGTGACGGCGGAAGAGGCCAGCCCACCAGCCTCCCGGGCCCTCAGCGAGTAGAAGACGTGTACTCGGAGGAGATGGAGAAGATGGACTCGTGCCTCCGAAGGCTGCAGCGCTTCAGGGGGTAAGTGCGACGTCGGCCTGACCCCTTGTGATGGTTCATCCTGTTCCACAGGATGAACATCTGATTTTCCAAGACCTTCAGCTTCATTTCACTGAACACCAGCCGCTCGAGGATCTTGTCCTGGAGGGCAAAACAGGCGTGCAGCCTCTCGAGCTCCTTGGCGCCCACGGCCTGGCTGTGGGCTTTGGTCTTGCCCGCACCTTTGTCTTTGACTTTGTCTTCGGCTTGGCACGGGTCTTTGGGTTTGGCCTCAGGAGGCTTGGGTTTCTCTGTCTCTTCCTAAATGTCACACCACCACAAAAAGAGGAAAACGGGTTACTAGGGAGACCCCTTTCTAGGCAAAGGCCTTTCTCAGCATTGCCCAGGATGTAGGGCCGCCCCCAAAATGCCAGGACCCACAATGGCCATTGGTTTATAGGAATCAATGAAGTGGCCCCCACTCAAGGAGGACATAGGCCCTTAACCCAGTGGGCGAGTGCCCAGACCCTGCACTGGCCTCGTGTCCCTCTCAGCCTTTTCAGACCCCGGAAAAGCACCCACTGCTACACTTGCGTGGCTTCAATCATGCCCCGCTCTCTAAGCCTCATCTGCACCCCCACGGTTATTAGCATTGCCTTTTCTTTGGGGGGGACTCAGCTACAAACAGCTGGACTATTTAAAGCCATTTAAAAATTAAATTATTTCAAGACACGTCAAAAATATGTAAATCAGCTGACAGCGCAGGGTTAGAGACACCAACCCACCTGCTGTTAACAATCCAAATACAGCTTTTCACTCCCTAAAACCTTGTCTATGAATAACCAACTGTTGACCTCACCGAAAATAGAGTCAATGAACACATATTTTGTATTTTTTATGTGCTAATATGCAGTGTTCTTAAACTAAAAGGGCATTAAGAAAATCATAAGAGAAAATACTGTAGTTATCAATACTGTAAATGTCAAAGAAAATTGGTGCAATCCAAAATGGTGCTGATGGGGTCAACTGTATCACAGCTGATACCCATGTTCCCTCACCAGCTTAGGAGAGAAAATACCACAAATGTAATCGATGTCCCCCATGGATCTCTCTCCTGTACTGTTCTCTTCCCTCTCTGATCCTCCTCCTCTCCCCGCCCCCCCAGCTGCGATTCTGAATTGGCTTTTCTTTTCCATGCATTTCTGCAAGAAACCAGAGGTTCTAAAGACAGGCTTGTTCACCCTGCCCACGACAATATCCAGAGACATTTTGGTCACAAGAAGTTGTCACAAAAAGGGTGAGAGGTGCTGTTGGCACTTGGAGGGTGGAAGCAGCGATGTTGCTAAATCTCCAGCAACACACGGGACAAAAATATGCTCAGCTCAAAATGCCAGTGTGTTGAAGCTGAGAAATCCTGCCTCAAAGACATACTTGACCTGTTGATATGATCCATGAACAAGATAGGACTTGTTTTACATGTTTTTTTTTTTAAGATTTATTTACTTATGCATACAGAACAGGGATATAGGCCAGAGGTGCAGGGGGTGGTGAGAGGATTCAGTAGAGACCGAGTGGGGAGCAGAGCAGACATATCTACTGAAATACATTGCTGAGGGGAGCAGCGGGCATGTCAGGAGAGGTCTGCCATGCCATGTGGGTCAGCTCCTGGCAGGGGATGAACTTCTGCTGCAGTGGCTTCAGAGAGCTTCATAATGTGGTGCTTTAACCGCTTGTACCACGAGGGAGGGCCCTTATTTGCATGTTTTTTTTTTTTTAAAGATTTATTTATTTATTCATACAGAACTGGGGTACAGGCCAGAGGCTCAGGGGCGGTGAGAGGCTTCACCAGAGACAGAGAGGGGAGCAGAACAGGCAGATCGACGAAGTACACTGCTGAGGGGAGCAGCGGGCGGGTCAGGAGAGGTCTGGCTCGCCATGTGGTCTCCTCCGGGGCAGGCGGCAGGCGGGAATCGAACTCATACAGAAGTGGCTTCAAATTCTCAGTGCTGTGCTTTAACCCGCTGCGCCACCAGGGAGGGCCTGTTTTGCATGTTTTTAAATTTTTTTTGTAAAAGTTTTCACAATCCATTGACCCATTGATCTATTTTAGAGATGAAACTATGATAAGGCATCCATCTTTGGTTCATCCATTTTAATTTTTTCCACTTAAAAAAAGTAGTAGTTGGATGATTGAAAAAGATACCTGCACCCCCATGTTTATTGCTGCTTTATTTACAATTGGAAAAACATGGAAGCAGCCCAAATGCCCAAAAGTAGATGACTGGATAAAAAAGATGTGGTACATATATACAATGGAATATTACTCAGCAACCAAAAAAGAGAAACACATGTCTTTTGCAGCAACTTGGATGGAGCTGGAAAAGATCATGCTTAGTGAGATAACCCAGAAAGAGAAAGAAAAATACCGGATGGTTTCACTCATAGCAGGAATATAATGGACCAGGCAAGAAAATAACAAAAATAATGAACAACCATATACCAGAGACATTTTGAGGGGGTGGAGTGGGGAATGGGATCAAAAATGGGGGCGGGGGAGGGAAATGCACATTATGGTGATGCCACACGGGTGACGTGGTAATGGGAAACCCACGGGGATTACAATTGAGATGAAAAAAAAAATGTACAAAATGATGTAAAAATAAGCTGTTGTAAAAAAAAAAAAGTAGTAGTTGGGCCCTCCCAGGTGGTGCAACAGGTAATTACGCAGCACTGCAAACCAGCAGAAGCCACTTCAGTGTGAGCTGGATCCCCACCCTGGAGGTTCTCCACATGGCGTAGCAGACCTCTCCTGTCTCACCCGCTGCTCCCCTCAGCAGTGTACTTGATCTGCCTGTTCTGCTCCTTACTCTGTCTCTGGTGAATCCTCTCACCTCCTGTACCTCTGACCTCTGACCTTTACCCCATTTCTGTATGCATAAATAACCTTAAAAAAAAAATGTAGTAGCTGTGACTATGGTCAGGGCACGTTGATTTTGACCAGGCCTGGGATGGTCTCTATTTTACAGTTCAGGCAACTGAAACCTTGACGGTAAAATTGTGAGGGACGCATTTTGTCCTCCATCACCCGAGATCAGGGACTTGGAGTAGAGATGTGATTCCTCAGTCTTGCCCATTCTCTGGATACCTTCCCTGTCCCCCTGACCCTCTTATCACTTCCAGCAGAAACTAAGCCCCTTTTGCTCACCTGCTGGGGCTCTGGGGGGGCGGGTCTGAATTCATGCTTGACCAGCCAGTTGCTAAGCAACAGTAGAAGGAATAGGATGGCAAACAAGATTGGTTTATAGCTGATCAGCCCAGCTATCAATGCTCCTATGGTGCCCGAGGAAGCAAGCATCCAGTGGAGATACCTAAAAAGAGACATTAGTTCCTCCAGTAGTATGGGCCCCCAACCCCTGCTTTGGTCCCTGCTTGGGACAGTTGCCCTCCATGATAGGAGCCAGGGCTGCCCACTGCCCAGAGTCATAGATGGCCCCTCCCCTCTGCTGACGCATAACAATAATAATAACTGCCCCTGTGTTGAAGCAGCTGCTATGCGCAGGCCTTTGACAGGTGGCTCGCGGGCATCATCTCATGACATCCCCCAGGTCATGTAGGCTTTCATGCTATATCTTCTTTGATTAATGCTCTGAGCCTTGCCACTGTAAATAACGTCCAGCAATATGATGCCCCTACCCTCATTGCGAAGGACACTACAAAGAAACATTATCCAAAGTTGGGAATAAGCCTAAAGAACACTGCAGGATCAGAGCCAGACTGCAATACTGTCTAAAGTGCTTACTTATCAAGCTCACTGGATGCTTTAGGGGAAGGTGACTTTGATTTACTCTTTGTATTTATTAGGGTGCCAGCTCTGTGAAGTCAGATGTTAATGTTTTAAAGATGGGTAATTGCCCCAGCAATTCTTCTAATGGGTCTACATCCAAACGGATGGAAAGCTGGGTCATGGAGAGATAACTGTGTAACCATCACTTACAACCGCCGAAAGGTGGAAGCAACCCAAAAGCCCACCAATGGATAAATGCATAAATGTGGATACAAATGCACAATGGAATCATATCTTAAAAGGGAATGAAATTCTGAAACATGCAGGATGAACTTTGAGGAAATGATGCTACATGAAATAAGCCAGGCACAAGAACACAAAAGCTGTTTGCGTCCACTCTACTTGGTATCTAGAGTAGCCAAATATATGGAAACAGAAAGTAGAATGGGGTCTCCCTGATAACCGGGGTGCTAAGTCTCAGCACTGTCACTACCTCAGCCTGTGTTGATCCTGGCCAGGGAGGTGACACACATAATGCAGCAGAATTCTCCTGTCTCCCCCATGGCTCCCCTTAGCAGTGTATTTCAGTAGATCTGCCTTTTCTGCTCCCCACTAGTCTCTGGTGAATCTTCTCACCTCCTGCACCTCTGGACTACACCCCAGCTCTTGTATATATTAATAAATAAAATAATCTTTGAGAAAATAAGAGAGCAGCTTAAAAATAAAAAGAACATGCTTTCTCTTTATGCGGCAGGTGGCAGAACCAATGTAAAACATGCAGATTTGGGGTGCACGCTAACAGAGAAAGTTCCTAAGGCCACAAATGGCTTTCCATCCTATTCCAGATGTTGTCCACAGTGTCCAATGGTCAGAATCAAAGGCTGCTCGTGAAGGATGATGGTCTCCCTCTGGTGAGAGCCTGGAGCTGATGGCACACCAATGAGCATTGGACCCAGACTCAAGTCACTGAGGCAGCTGGAGGGGATCACAAGCGGCACTGCTGTTGCAGTGATCAGAACGCCAAGTCTGGCCACATCAGAGGTGACAGCAACCGGAGGCAGTTCTAGAGGTGGTGTGAGCATAGGCCAGTCATGCTGGTTGGCAGGTGGTGCAAAGATCAGGTAGCGGTAGACAACTCTTAGAAGTAATGGACACAGGCCAGTGGCAGCAGTCAGGAGGTGGTGCTGGTTGTGTGGAGCCAGGAGCAGCAATTGATCCTAAGCAATGAGTGAGAGATCGGAAGCCAAGCGTTTCCCAGGTGAGAGTGTCTGAATCCATCTGCTCCCTGGCCTTTTATTGTTTTCAGGGTCCCTCCGCTCCTCCCCTTGCCCCCTCCAGAGGCACTGGTACAAGTTGAAACCTGATTGGATGTTTTCAAAACTGGCCCAGGTTTCAAAACACAAACTCACAAGCTCTACCGCCAGTTGAAACCCAGCTACAACAGGGTCAATGTCTTCGCAGCACTGCTGAGACAAGGAGCCACCAAGCTCACTTTACATTTGGATTCTATCACTAGAGATTGATTTTACCATTTCTTGAACTTTATGTAAATGGAATAATTTTTGCAAATTACATTTTGAAGAGATGTTGCCAGAAATGCCGGGTCCTGCTGCCTGTCACTACCAAAAAGCTAATGCAGAGACAGAAATTGAATCTCCAAGTGTTTTTACTTAGGTAGAGGCCAGTGATCTGAGAATGGTGGATGGATCACCATTGATCTGAGAGAACAGTGGGCATAGCACCCTGAAAAAAAAAACATTCTGTCATGTCATCTTGAGCTGGCCTTTTAATAACGAATTACATAAAGACAGTTATAAACAAACAACCTGGCACAGTCTGATGTTTCTGGTATTCCTCACATTTAGCCCCCCAAAACTTGGTATCAGCCTCGGGGTTAACTTGATCCTGGTACTGATGGCGTCAGTGTCCATCATGCCATTGGGCATCATCAGGGCAGGAATCTCAACTAGACCAAGAGTTTTAGTTTAAAGAAAACAGATCATTAATCATACAGTGTGTACTGCAGCCTCTTCTAGGTGTGTATGAGCAGTCTTCTATACTCCAATATGGCGCCCTTCCCTTTCCCCCCACCCCCTATAAGCTATATGTAAGAAACCAAATAAATTTCTGTATAATAAATGGAAATAAGCTTGAAAAACACAAAGCTTGTCACAGTCGTGGATCAGTGAAGAGTCCCTACAAGAACCAAGTACACAGCATTTCTACCTGGAGTAGAAAGAGATGTTCTGTACCTTGGAGGGGGGCGTATACAAAGTGGGAGGAGGTGCAGGTGAGGAAGTGCCAGCAGGGGCAGAGTCCGGTTGTAAGAGAAGGAACAGAGCTCTCGGGGTAAGAGCAATGCCGTTGAACTCAAATTTGGACTTCTAACTTCATTTCATTACACTGAAACTCGCTTGCTCTCTAAAATCTCCCCAGTCCCAGTTAGACCATTATGAATAAGTCGACATTACATTTCAGTGTCTTCCCCTCACTAGACCACAACGCTTTCAAAGTAAGAACTTTGTAAGTAAACCCTGGCCACGGAGTCTGTATTGACAAAGATTGGGTGAACTGACGAACAAGTAGGGGAACGAATGTGCGAACGCAGGCATTCGCTGGAGGAAACGATTGCACTCGGAGGTACAGTCTGGCCCAGAAGCCCTAGAACCTGGACGGTGTTGCGGTCCACGCCAAACGTCTAGGAGACGCTCTAGAAAAGCATCGCCTTCTTTGCCTGGGCGTCGCTCTAGCCAGCAGGACGCCGCTCTATGGCAGCGGGGGAGGGCGGGGCCCAGGGCGTCAGGGGCCTTTTTGTCCGGACGCCGCGGGAGCGCGCACAGCGCGTGCGCACGCGACGGCGGTTGGCTGCGCGGACTGTGTGAAGTGAGGCGAGGTGAGGCGACTCCGGACCCACGGACCGACAGACCGAGCGGCCCCTACGGCCGTCGGCGGCCAGGCGGCCCGAGATGTTGTCTGGGAAGAAGGCCGCGGCGGCCGCGGCGGCCGCGGCGGCG